ACAAGTGAAGGGTCATGTAACCATCAAGGCAACTTGAGACATGGGATCATACTCCAAAAGGATTTAAATTAACTACCTCATAGTGGAAATTTTATAGCCCTATAACATCATCTTTGGTGGAACCACCATCAATGCATTAAGGGAGGTTATTTCCACCCAGTACCTAGTCCTAAAATACAGTCCACCTAGTAGGCGAGTCAGGACAATTCAAGGAGACCAACAACGTGCCTAAGAGTGTTACCATAGCAACTTGATGTACTAAACTAGCAAGTGTATCAGTCTCTTTGAAGTAATAAAATAATTCGTCTCGACATGGATTGTGAATTAAAACAAAGAATTACAGTGCAAATTAAACTAAATAATTGGAGACAGGCTCGATATCCATTTGGTACTGTTGTACCCCAATTTTCCCCCCTAAGATCACCTCATCATACCATGTTAATTCCATCACAACAAGATCACATTAGGATTCTTGGTTCCCCTCCCTATATTTAGCTTTCCTCTTTGAGGAATTACCAAGCACATTGACTTGTGTTCTTTTGTGATCATGAATATTTTTTGTCTTAATTTCTTATTTTAATTAATAAAATTCAATGTTGTTTTTCTTGCTTGTTACTCATGTAGGTAAAGGCAATGAGATTCAGCAAGTTGCTCCATGGGTTCATGAGTTTATTTCCATGCCCTAGTCAATAAAGCTTGAGAAGTTCAAACTTCACCATTGGATTTGTTTTGGAGGAAATGGCATGGCAAGGTTATTTTGGCTCACCATATTTCAATATTATCAAATTTGGTTCAAAAGTACAAGGGATTGATTGGAGAAGTTGTCATGCTTGGACAAGGCTTTGTTCCCATTGGTCACAAATGCATATTTCTCTCAATTCTCAAGATATGGAAGTGGTTGTGGTGGCTATGAGTTGTAACGCCTGTTAATTTAATTAATTGTGTAATTAAATTATCTTTGGATTATTTTCCAAAGTTTCGAGATCTTGAGAATTATTGATATAAGTTACTGGACTATTATTAATTAATTAATTAGTTGATTAATAACAATAATGTTAGAATTAATAGAATATTTGTGTCTGACTTATGTTATTGATTGGAAGTAGTAAAGTGGGAGTGTATAGATTAGACCCAATAAGATTGATATATAAGGTTAAGCTGACACAATGATTTGTTTTAGTTGGAGAATAAGAAGTTTTGTACGTTGACCGGAAGAGCTACATGGAAGAGGAGCAAGTTGCCTGGTGTTGAGCAGAGCAAATCAAGGATTATGGTTAGAGCTTTGGTGGAGCGACTTTCAATCCAGGTAAGGGTGGGATTCTAACATTAAATGGGATTTATGATGTGTATCACATGGGAATTGGTCATTGTAGGCCTGTTGTGCGTTGATATTTTTGAATTTGCTATCGAAGTTACCCAGTTGTTTGCTACGGACATTTTGAGTCATCTGTGTGACTGCCAGGTTTAATCGATGGATAGGTTAGGATAGTTGATCACTGGTCGGGGTGGTTGTTAGGATGTTAGGATATTCCGAGCGATTGACAGGAAAATTAGTAAATTGTTGAAGTGGTCGTTTTAGGAAGGTCTCTGCATGACATGTCCTGTATGATTAATGAATTTGTTGATGGGAAATATAGTTTCCCATTGTTGTGTTATTCCGAGTTGTTGGCTGGAAATTATGAATTGTAGTGGTGTGGTCGTTAAGACGTTGTATTGTGTCTGTGTTGTTGGCCGAACTAGTGGTCGAGGAGGATGCTGATGGTGTTAGGTATCGAGCGACATTTAGGCTGCGAGGTGTGTCAGGGGGTTATGTGTTGGACTGCCAAGCGATATTAGGTTGCAGGACGTGCCGAAGAGCATAAGTTAATTTTTATTTTATTTTCTTTGTGCGTGTCGAGGAGTATGAATTAGTTGATATGCTATCCTAGTTGCTATGCATGTTGAGGGGCACGTAGTTCCCTATCCCGTTTTTCCCGTACATGTTATGTTTTGGTCGTTACCAGTGTTGTGTCAATTATTATTAAGTTTTCGTTTGATTATGTTAATGATTGAATCGTTGATTGATGTGGCAGGCTTATGACCAATGTTAATTTATGTTGAGTTGTTGTGTTGTTGTGATTGTCGCTGTGAATTCTTGTTGATAATGCGAAGTTGCAGGGAATTTTAAATGATGATGAATTACCTCTATTTATTGGTAATAATGGTATACAGGCATGTTCTTTATGATGAATGATGATTGTTGTGAGTATGTGATAGTGCAATCATTGAGTCATATACATTTGCATACTCTGCGATGACCTGGATTGGCAAACTGCGAAGAAGGCTTACGCCTTATTGATGCCTCTATTAATTGGCAATTTCTAAGATGAGAGTTCTGCTTTATTTTTAAGATGGGAGTTCTGCTCCATTGGTACCACATGCATTTGCATAAGTATGAGTTGCATTTTGTGTGCATTCTGAGTCGCTATGTGGTTAATCTAATTATGCTTATGTTATTAAAAATATGAGAAGTGGTAAATATGTATGAACTGATTCTAATGTTTTATTTATCATGTATTCTATTATAATGTTTGATATCTCACCTCTTTATGTTTGAATGTTACCCTGATGTTGGTAATGTGCGGGTAATCCAGAGTGAAGACGGTTTACCTTCAGTAGTTCGAGTCGGTGTTATTGCTCTGATACGTAACACTCGGGGGGATGAACGCTTGATGTTTTATTGTTGTTATTATTCCAGTTGATTGAACTTAAGTTGTTGTTCTTTAAATGATTGTTATTTGAAGTTGTCTTAGTGGGACAAAGATTTTACATTCTTTTAAGTTGAATATTATGACCCTGCTGCGTAGTTATGAAAATTGATGTTTCTTTTAAGATTGAATTATATTTGTTGTTGTTTCATCCAAATTTAATGTGTTATGTATCAGTAATGAATGTCGTTGTTTTAAGTTGAATTTGTGGCATCCTGATTCAGTTGTAAAAATTTTATAACTGATTTATATATATATTTTCGGGTAGAATTGGAGTGTTACCTCCCCCCCCCCCCCAACAATTGGTATCATGAGTATTTGGTTCAAAAAAGGGTCCAAGAAGAGGTATTTCGTTGCAAGGTGTCAACAACGAGTACAAGTTTTCGTTGCAAGGTGTCAGGAAAATAGTGGTGTGTATCTCACCAAGGTGTCTATGTGAATAACCCATTAGACCCACATAGATATAGATTATTAAAAAATTATATTAAAATTTATATTGTCTTACTCTAAAATATCACGTTAATTTTTCTCACCTCACTATATTTTATATCTATTCTATTCAATATTTCTCTTTTAAATATTATACATTAATATAATCAACATTCTTCCTCGTATTCTATTAGTTTTCTTATGTTAAATAATCGAGTATTATTTTATATAATTTAAACATGTATTATATTTAAAAATACGTTAAAATATTTATATAAATTAATATAGTATTTAAAAATATATTATGTTTAAAATAATATAATTTTTAATTTCATTTGTAATAAATATTATCGAGTTATTATTTTAAATTTTTAATAAGTAAAGCCTATTTAAGTCTGAAGTCTATCTAGAATCGGACTCGAGTAGAAATTTTTGAATTCATATTATTATAGAGTTTTGGAGATTTCTTAGTACACTCTTATATGCGTGAAAAAATCCTCTGAAAACTTTAAAATATCTTTCGGATATGCACATCCGAGCGAATCCATATATTTCATTTTCAGGGAGATTTCAGATATACATATCCGAAATAATCTAATATTTTAAATTTCTTTTGATTTTATTTTAAAAAGATAATTATTTATAATATAGTTATAAAATATTGAGTTATTATTAATAAATAATAATTTAAATTTATAATTGAAATTAAATATTAAAATAAATTTATGATATGAAATTAAATAATAAATGTAATAATTAAATTTCTAATTACAATGATGAAATGTAATTGTCTTTTAATTTTTTATATTTTAAAATATGAATAATTTTGGATAAAAAATATAAGAAATATTTTTTAATTATAACTTTTGAAAGTTAAATTTAATTTAGATGATATTTTTATTTGGAGAAATAAAATAGACATTTCTAATAATAGTTTTTTTTTATAGTTTTTATTATAAAACTTATAATTGATTATTGAGTTGTAATTAAAAATTTTATTATATTAAAAATATATTTATATTAGAATTAAAAGTTAAATATTATTAATAATTAATAATAATAAAATAGAATATTTAATATTAAGTAAACAGATTCTTGTAAAAAAATGATGAATAATTGAGGTTATTTCGGATATATATATTTGAAAGTGTTCTAAAGATGGATATACATATCTGAAATAATTTAATATTAAATTATTAGATTGTTTCGGATATCTATATCAATGAATCTTAAATTTGACTTTTATATATATATATATATATATATATATATATATATATATATATATATATATATATATATATATATATATATATATATATATATATATATATATATATATATTATAGGATATATTACGGGAATTTCGTCAATGATCTCTGCAGTTAGAATCATCCAACTGTTCTCTGCAAAGGATGTTACGTTCATCAAGTGTCATTTTTAAATAAGTGTGACTTAGTATCACACCAAAGTTCAATTCATTATACACTTACTTGTTTCACTTCTTTGACTTAGACACATACATCCTTTTAAAAAATATTTATGATGAACTTTACCATCCTATTACGGATTTTCTGTTCCACTTAATATATGCATGCAACCTAGCTATACAACAAATAATATAATAACCATATACATTATCTTTTCTACAATTTTTGCAATAAAGCAGTTTTTATTTTTTTTACATGTTACAAGTGTACATATGTCGTTAAATGCGTGTTTATGATTAGTGCATATATTCATAGGTTGAGATATTGTTCTACTTAATTAAGCTCAATTGAATTCATACAAATGGTTGGAGAATCACTTAATTTTGCAACTACGTTAGCAGCTTGAAGTAGACAAAAAATCAATGAATGGAACATGTTTTTCTTTGTTCTTTAGCTCCACAACATTTTGATTCACTTCCTCATCATCTCTTCTAGCATTATCAGTAACTTCACTTTTATTGGAATCTAATTGAAGAAAATCATAGAACTCAATTGATTGTGTTTTATCTACAATATCAAACAAACAAAATTAACATTTACATTAGCAATGTCCATTAGTATCACACTTGAAATTGGATGTACCTTGATGCATTGTGGAACAAGAACTTGGATCTTTAAACCGAAACATCGGAAATTGGAAAGGGTTATATGAGACACTTGGGTGATTATTCTTTTCATGATAGTTCTCAACAAAAGAATGAAGATTTCTTGCCTCTAAGTTTGTTTGATGATCATTTGGAGAGAAAATTATGTGATGATCAAGAGGACCTTTCGCATAGATCTTGTACCTTTCGCGACGACTCCTCGCCATCATCACATGCCAATGATTCTTAACAGCGTTATCCGTCCGGCCGGGGAAGTGTCTCGCAATTACGGCCCATCGATTGCCATGAATCCGATGAGAAGTTATCAGACGCTCTTCTTCTTCCTCGGTGAAAGGATTTCTGTTTATCCTTGGGTCCAATTGATTGAACCATCTCAACCTACAACTTTTACCTAATAAAACTCATGTTCAAAATAATTAGCTTCTATTATAATTAACATTTACAAACTTATAATATCATAAATTATGTCTTAGGCTGGATATTCTCTACCAATATAGGTTTGAATATCCTTTAATGTATAAAAGAAACAAGAGAAAAACTAAATACCTTAAGTGAAACATGTGAAAAAAAGTACATATTAAAATTATATTGATGTTGCACTAATAAATATATTTCATGATCTTTAAGCCAAACCCTAGAAAAAAATTAATCAATGAATTATATTTTTTTATAAACGTAATTATATTACACAATTAATTTATTTGTTCCTCAAAGAATCACCTAATTGTGACTGTGCGATTCCAATATTTTTTTTTTCGACTTTGATACCACTATATATTACCAAACTATCACAAATATCTTACCTAAGAGTTAAGTGGGTTGATATGCTATCTTTTTCATCTACATACATATTCCATAGTTGTTGAAGTATTAATTTTTTTATTTTGAGTGGAAAGAAACAATTAGAATAATTAACTATATGATCATTAATTTTACCTGATCTTCCTTTGAGATTTTCAGCTATGGCGTTCCAATTATGAGGTCCATAGCTTTCCACCAACTCCTTAAGCTTATCATCCTCAGATGGTCTCCAATGGCCTCTACTACACATATTATCTCTTCTCAAACTCAAACCCTAATTCAAAAATTATATAATTCTAACTAATTTCTCTCCCTCTTGCTTTGATCTATATGATCAATATTCAAAGCTATATGAAAATTTCGTATATATATCAAAGCAAAGTGGAAGATAAAAAGGGGTGTATATATATAAGAGGAGGTGAGGGAAACAAATTAACTAACAATATTGAAGACAAGAAGTGGAAAGAGACATGGGAAGAGAATATATGGTGGGGAAGATGGGAAGTTTTCCGTTAGAAAGTGGGAAGATTGATGCCAACATTTTGGCTAACAAACATTTATATATATATATATATATATATATATATATATATATATATATATATATATATATATATATATATATATATATATGAGATGTGAGTGAAAGAAAAAAGGTTGCTTAGAGAAGCCAATTTGGTTATGCTTTCAATGTCTTTCCAAATTTCTAACCTACAACTTCTACTTATAACCCACCAAGCATGCATATTTTCCATATTTTATATATTTACCACTCAATTTTTCACATTAAACTATGTATCAATTACGTAACATACTTTGCTAGCATATATAAATTATTAAAAATAAACATCATTTGACATGATCAATGTTTTTAAGAAACAATAATTCATTTCACGTGCACACGTATTTTCAATATTTTGAAACAAAATTCAACCTATGACATATAGTATTTACTTAAGGGTCATTTTGCATGTGAAAACAAAATTATATTATATATATATATTCAATGAATTAAAGTTAGAATGTTTTATTTTGTGAAGAGTTTGGTATTCTTGTTAGACTATGAAGTTGTATGCAGATATGTTTTAGGTTTTGATTTGATAAGGTTTGAGGCATAACTAACTACATTACTTAGCTTAGAATTCATATATACAAGTGGATGTGGACTTTATACTGTTTCATTTATTTTGCTCTTTCATTTTTAAGGCTACTGTGCATTTTGAGTCAAACATCTGGTCTAATTTCTGTATGTCTCTCAACTACTTAATCTGAGTTGTGTCATAATATTAAGAAAATATAATGAATATATTGCTTTTATTTAAATTATTCACTCTAGATGAATTCTTGTTAAATTCTAATACTTTCATGTTTTGTCTATAATACCTTTGAATGAATAATTAAATAAAAAATGATAAAAATATATAAAAAGAAAAAAGGTAACAAAAAAATAATATTGTGATTTATTATTTAATTAACTTTGCTAGTACACTATTTTTAGTTTTAGTCTATGTGTATTATTTATTTATTTGGATTTTAGTCATTGCAAATATATTTTTATTTTAACCTAAATATTTTATATAAATTAAATATACATTTAACTTTACAATTTTTTAATTTTTATTTATAAATACAGAGTTTTAAAAGACAACTAAAAAACATATAGATGTGCAAAATCTTTTGCAATTTTTTAATCATTTTAACATTTGTGTTTGTAAAAATCTTTGTTTTTAATCATGTAAACGTGTGACTTGTAATGAGACAAAAAAAGTAAGTGAAATAGAGAGGAAATATGAGCTAAAAGTTGTGAGAGAAGGAACATGCGCGAAATAGTTAACGTTTTTAAAATAAAATAAGGAAGAAAAGAGACTAATATATTATAATATTCTTCGAAATGTATAGACCCTCCTTCTTTTATTTGGTCAACAAAAAATATATAGACCCAGTGTTATAATAATGGTTGCCTTGCCCCTATGTTAATTTTTTCGTTTTCAAACATTTATGGTTAGAGATTAAATTTAGTGTATTAATGCTGTAAAATAAATAATTTTATATTATTATTTAATATTTCTTCCGTTTTAAAATATAAGAGAAAAAAATAAAAATTATATTTATTAAAAAAGTAAAAATATAATCATTTAATTTGTGATTTTCTTAAAATAATATGTGCAGAAAAATGTAAAAACAATTCTAATTGATTGTTGATTATAGAAATGATGAGAGAAAAAGTAAATTAAATGCAATTTGTATTTAATTTTACCTTGAAAGAGATGAAAGGTGATTTTTTTTCTCTTATATTTTGGGACAAGAAAAATGTATTTTTTTTCTCTTATAATTTGAGACGGAGAGAGTATCAATTTATTAATCTGTTATGTTATTAGTGTTATTTTAAAATATAAATGTAAAGTAGGATATTATGAGATTTATTTCAACTTCTCACAAGAATGATCGCTTATCAAATCGCATCAATAGTATTTTTATTGCTCTAATTCTAAAGGTCGCGAGTCCTAGAAGGTTGAATGACTTTCATCCTATATCTCTTGTGGGTTGTTTATATAAAATTCTAACAAAGTAATTCGCTAATCGATTGCGTTTGGTGATGGAAAGTGTTATCTCAGAGTGTCAGTCAACTTTTGTTAAGGATAGGCAAATCCTTGATGGTATCTTGATTGCTAATGAATTGGTGGACGAGGCTCGTAAGTTAAAAATAGAGTTGATGTTATTCAAAGTGGATTTTGAAAAGGCATGTGATTCTATGGATTGGGGTTATTTGGATGTTGTTACGGGGAGAATGTTTTTTCCGAGAATGTTTTTTCCGACTTTGTGGAGGAAGTGGATGAAATAGTGCATTGGGTCAGCTTCAACATCCGTGTTAGTTAATGGTAGTCCTACAGAGGAGTTCTGGTTTGATAGGGGGTTGCGTCAAGGTGACCCATGATCTCCCTTTCTTTTCCTACTAGCGGCGAAAGAGGTGCATGTTTTAATGGTTGCGATGGTAAACTCCAATCTTTTTATGGGCTACATTATAAGTGGGGAGGTTATAAAAGTTATTTCCCATTTTTCAGTTTGCATATGACACCTTGCTTATGGGGGTCAAGAGTCGGACTAATGTTAGAGCCTTAAGGGTGGTTCTTGTGTTGTTTGAAGCTATGTCAGGTTTGAAAGTTATTTTTCACAAAAGTATGCTGGTGGGTATCAATATTTCAGAGTCTTGGTTGTATGAGGCAACCCAATATTACATTGTAGAGTCAGGAGGGTTCCCCTTTTGCACTTGGTCTTCCGATTGGTGGAGATTCTAGAAGGATGGCTTTTTGGGGTCCAATGTTGGATCATATTAAATCTAGGTTGTTTGGTTGGAAGAGTCTAAATTTATCATTTGGTGGAGGCTTGATTCCCTTGAAGTTTGTCCTTGCCTCTATGCCTATATATGTTCTTTCTTTCTTTAAAGCTCCTGCATGTACTATCACTTCCTTAGATTCTACTTTTATGAATTACTTTTGGGGTGGGTGTGAAAATCATAGGAGAACTGCTTGGGTTGACTAGGAGACTATTTTTAAAAATAAGGAGTTTGATGGGTTGGGTGTTAGGAGGCTAAAGGAGTTTAATATAGCTCTGTTAGGTAAGTTGAAATTTTGGTATTCAAATCACAGATGTCCTAAAAGATGTCGAGACACCGTTTTCTGAACAAGCAAGCAATGACAAGATAAACAATAATCAAAGTGATGAAAAGTAAAGAACATTCAGGATTGTTAATCCAATTCGGTGTAAATTAACACCTACTCTGGGGGCTACCAAGCTAGGGATCAAGTTAACTACTAATAGTATCAATTTGAAGCTAAACTCCCTTATTTACAACTTCTCACTTAATCATTACCCTTGCTTAACTTCTACCTAAAACTCTCCTATGTATGAGACTCTTCTCAAATCCTTTCCAATAACAAACATGTGGCTGAAAAATTCTAAACAATTAGAAAATCAAAGAAGTCACACTTCAAAGACACACAATTATTCACCGCTTACATGCTTTGGAATGATTGATAGAACTTACAACAAAAACAAAGTCCTATTATTTTATCAACATAATAATCATGAGGCTCATGATGAGTGCTAAATTGTTGTGAATTTAAGTGTGAAGAATTAGCACTCATCAACTTAATTCATTTTCTTTTTGTCAATAAACCTCAACTTTAGTGTATATTCGGTATACTTTATATTATAGTGTATTTATTGCGTTATTGTGTAAATATCATTGAGTTTAATTGATTTTATATCATTCTTGTAGGTATTCAAGCATTGATATTTAGGCATTATAGATAGAGCATTGAATAAGCTTTCCAACGCTTCCGACCATGCGCGAATTGGAATTACGGTTCAAAACTTATGGTTGAATTTGTGCTGGTTTTTCAACTTTCTATCATCTATCGTCGGGCGACGCTTTTTGGTCGTCGGGAGATTCTGGAGCGACCTGAAGCGTGTAAAAATGCAGTTTTAGTCGGCGGGCGATGCTTTTTGGTCGTCGGGCGATGCAGGACACTTAGAAATGTGTATTTAGGGGTAAAAACATATTTTTGGGTATGTTTTGGGTATTTTTGGTCCCAATCCTTCAAACCTTCATTTTTTTGTAGAGAGAGCTTAGAAAAAAACTTTGGAGCTTGTGTACAGATGATCCGGAGTGGATTGATCATCAATCAGTGCTGACAATACGATAGATTTGTGGTTCATTTCTCTTCTTCTTATTTTTGTATTCTTTATGTGTTGAGTTTGTATATGTATTTACTTTGAACACATGTATATTTGTCGCCCATGACGTTATATTAAACTTTCTTTACAAATCTTTGTTGATTATTATCTTAGATTTTTGCTTTGTGCTGGGGATTTTAGTTATTATAGACATATACTACTTAGATTCTTATCTAGGATGATTATCTATTAGTTTCTGAACTCTAGAGATAGATTTAGAGCTGAAATCTACTTGGGTATTAGAGCTTAATGCCTCTGTGTGGTTGTGTTGTACTGAGAGATTATCAGTGTGATTACATAGTTGTCTTCTGTGTTGTTGAGGAGGTAGAGAGATTATTTCCTTGGTGATACAGTCGGTCTCTAAATTTGGGTTAGAAATGACTTAGGTTGTGAGTGATGCGTAGTGACATTGATGACTATTGTTAGGTTGAATGTAACTCAACGATATATTTAAGTCTGTGATGAGTAGATTATGTGCAAGCTCTATAAGTTCTTCCTTAGTTTTTACTTTTA